CGAAACCTTATTTTAGCTTTGTAAGTCCCCAGGCTTACCGCTAAGTCACCGAAAGGAAGGCATTTAATATTTGAGTTCATTCTGTAACATTATAAATAACTAAGAGGAGAAAGAAATATTTTAAGTATAGATTCAGACCTAAAACTATGTATTTCATTCTCATTTATTTTAGCACAATTAGTTTATACTGGTGATAAATGGGGTAATATTTGGGAAGAGTGGGAGGAGTAACGAAAATATAAATAATTTTAAATCAGATTTATCTAGAAAATAACCCTAAATATAGCGTATATATATATATATAATGCACAAATGCTTTCTGTACTTCCGTATGTCCGATCTCTGACAGTTTGATCACCTTCCAATTCTTTAGATCTCAACTAAATTTGGCATGTAACTTTAAGGCTCTTTAGGGGAATGACGTAGGAGGATATGGTTACCGTTCTAATAGAGATTTCATACCACTTCTATGGAGCCACCTATGTCTTTTCCGTGTGTTGGACGCGTGAGTCAGCTAGTTAGTAAATAAAATAATATTCTGTACACGTGTTGTCTCTACGATTTTAGAATTGTGCATCTGAGATTCCGTGTTTCGTGCCCCGTTACTACCAAAACGAAAAAATATATTTAAGAATGACGGTCAAATCTCACTATTCGATTAGACTAGTGATGGATGGTGTTGAGTAGCTGTCTTCCCTCTACTAGACGATCACTTCAAAATTAGGAACAGTTAGAGCAAATAGCTCTCGAGTAGCTTTGCGCGAAATTCATCAAACAGATCAAAATTTTAAATTTTGATACGATTTGTCAAGGTATTCAGCGCGCGTGGTATCAATACATCAGATAATGGTCTTTTCCTCATATTAAAAAGGTGTGAACAGCTCATATTAACAACAAGTCTTGATGAGTACGATAACAAATGATTGGAAGTTATTTCAAGTAACAAACGTAATAGACCGTAAGAATTACGTTTCCTCCACATAAACACACTCATTTCCCTTTTTATCCAACAGTTTGTTAAAAATAATATAAGGTAAGAGGCCCAAATATTTGTCTAAAATTTTATTTCTTACTGCTTTTAATAATCTCTGACACAAATATATAGTGATATAATCGAAGTTTTATTATTATTATTATTATTACATGTGTTTTGTAAACAGAAGGCGACATCTCTACACGTCTAGTACTACGCATGTATATTTTTGTATACAGCTACAGAAGGCGATAACTCCACACGTCTAGTACTACGCATGTATATTTTTGTGTACAGCTACAGAAGGCGTTATCTCCACACATCTAGTATTACACGTGTATATTCCTGTGTACAACTAGTTAACAGGAGGCGACATCTATACACAGCTAGTACTATGCATGTATATTTTTGTGTACAGCCACAGAAGGCGATATCTCCACACATCTAGTATTACACGTGTATATACCTGTGTACAACTAGTTAACAGGAGGCGATATCTCCACACATCTAGTATTACACGTGTATATACCTGTGTACAACTAGTTAACAGGAGGCGACATCTCCACACATCTAGTACTACACGTGTATATTCCTGTGTACAACTAGTTAACAGGAGGCGATATCTCCACACATCTAGCATTCCACGTGTATATTCCTGTGTATAGCTACAGGAGGCGATATCTCCACACGTCTAGTACTACGCATGTATATTTTTGTGTTCAGCTAGTTAACAGGAGGCGATATCTCCACACATCTAGTATTACACGTGTATATTCCTGTGTATAGCTACAGGAGGCGATATCTCCGCACATCTAATATTACACGTGTATATTCCTGTGTACAACTAGTTAACAGGAGGCGACATCTCCACACATCTAGTACTACACGTGTATACAGCTGTGTATAGCTACAGTTAACACGTATTGAGGAAAGAAAGCTCTTCTCTTTTCTACTTTGGCAATGTTGCCTTCACAAAGAATCTCAAAACGGATCTCCTGTTGTCAGATACTTCAGAAAATACCGATGTATTTTCGGTCCAAGCACTGCCATAAAAACGCCAGTGAAGTTATCTGTTCTTCAGCCCGTGACAGTCGAGTATAACCTTCCCGTTCTTCAGAGATAGTTTTATTATGCTCACTGATGGGTAGAAACTGGTTTGCGAGATGCTATAAATGACAAAGCAAGAGCGGGTTTTATTCTAAAGATTGTAATGACTCCTGCAAGAATGTTTAAAACAAAATAAAAAGCAGTAATACAACTGTCATTATAATGAAAGACTCTCGAAAGAAATTTAAGAGGTATTCTTTAACATAGTTTGTTCATTTTTCTTATCATTCGATATCATTCAAATGTAACTAAGATACGCAGTCCACGTAAAGAACATTTCTATGCTGCCCTAAACACTGTTTTGTTTATAAGATAAGGTCTATTGAGGGTTAAACACACTTCATAACAACGTTGTTACAGGTCTCGTGCTATTCTTGAAATATTTTCCAGGCTTATTTGTACGTAGTCTATTGGCCACATTTGCAGTAATGTCAGACGCTTCAATTCGTATTGTGAAGGACGACAAGGTTAACTCTTGGGAAGATTTCCACGGAATTTCCACTATACGTGTTACATGTACAAGTTTTGGCGTAATGGTCCACTAGAGACAAATCGAGGGACTTGACAGGTGTGCCATTGAATAGGATTACTGTGATATCACTTTTAAGCCATATTTATTGTGTGAGCCTTCATCAACTTCAAATTTTTATCTTCTTTGCAGTATTACGAGATATGTCCAGCTTCATTTCAATGACTTTTTGGATCAGAAGGTTCTCTGTTTTAACTATAGCCTTAATTTTGTATATGAAGGCAATATTCTAATGTTCTGGATTAATTTTGGATGTGGTTTCGAACAATAAATATAGTGAAATAAATCTATATTGTACTGATACTCATATATATATATATATACATCAATATAAATAAACTGGTAATTTAATTACCTCATTAATTTTTCAAAATGGGGGGGGGGCGAAATTTACGTTTATTTAAACAATTGGAATGGAACGTTCCTCTCGTTCCTCTCAATTGAAGCACGGGTTTCTAAAACCGTTGTTGCCCTAAGCACTCTGCTGTGCTAGTTTTTCCATCTCCATGGAAAACATTGAAGGTTTATCTATTCGAAATGTTATGTTATTTGGCTCAGTTAACAACCTTGCTATATTAGCATCCTTTTTCTGAAAATGCTGTAACATATTCTTTCAGCCATAACTCTACCAATCGTGACAATGGTTAAAAATGTGCAGCGAACCAATTATACAGGGTAAAGCAAAGGTGAATACACAGTTATTTCATTTAGAACTTAGTTCAGTTTCTAACTATTACTTCTATTACAATAATAAGATTAGTCCCAATCGTCTTCGTAATATTTTCTTTATTACCAACCGTATAATACCAATTTTCTCAAACTATACATAAGTGCTAAAATGTCACACGTAGTGCTACATTTTGCATCTAAGGTGACATTCCACTGCATTAGCATATGTAAGTTGTTCTGAGGAATATAAATTAACCTTTTCTATATGACATTAAGAAGTCAAATCCACTTAAAGTGAATCTTAGGTAAAAGTAAGTCGTCATAATTTATTCTAATTTACGTTTAACCAAAAAATATAATTGTTTCTTTCTTATGAACATTTAAGTATTTTACAGTATCGTCAGGTTATTGGCACGCATTTGGAACTAGCTGGGTTATAAATCGAAATTTACTTATTAAAGTGAAACTTATGGTTTTCTTAAAGTAACATGTAACTTGATATTTTCCTGCAAAGCCCTACAGTGTGGTGAAGTATCGTTAATAGCGAGAGTACCGAACTAACTAGGTAGCTTGATCTGATCGGAAGTCTAATACCTATTGGATTGCAAATGGCTACAGCAACATGATCGTTCAAGGACATCAAAAATTAGGGTTCTCAATTGGTCGAAGACATTTAAAATGGCGAGTGCGTCCCCGTGGAGATACCCCATAACTTTGAGTAATAAATATAGTATAAAGTAACTAAACGTGAGTATATAACTAGATGTACTTGCTCAGGATACCAGAAAGTGTTCTGTTTCAAGAGTAAATAAAACCAAAATTAAGAGTAACAAATATTTTTATTTCTTGCTTTTGAAGTTCATATGTCATACTGTTTTGCAATCTACAGAGTTCGTAGATCTTCTCACGATTCATGACATGCACACGTTTTACTGACGTCAAGACAGTTCAAGCTGCAACGTTAAGTGTCCCTTATGTGACGTAATTTTAGTGCTTACTGACTGACCGATAACACATTACTGTATAATGGTGCGAGTGGTTAAAACAGGTAACCCCTCCAGGTGTCCTTCGGCCCCCTTCTTTCGGGGAAATAAGTAGATACAGATGCGTTGACGTTTCACCACAGTTAACCCGGTACCATGAAGATGCTGGGTTACTTTTGTCAAAACACTGATTCATGTGTATTTATTTCTTTTTATATACCACTTTTAGTTATTTTATGTATTATTTAGCCCCATACTTATACAATATCAATGGATGGAATTTTGAGGAATGTCTTTCCCTGATCAAATTATTTCACAGTTGATCCATGTGACTGGTGGATGCTGTAGATATGAAATCCATCCAGTAAACTAGTTTAACGTATGTTGTATGGATTATAGGCTAAAAATAATTAGTCTATCCTTTCAATAATTTTACTCAAATGGGCACAGATAATTCATAAACAGTTAGGATAGGCATTATTGCTATCCAGAATGAAAATAGATCCAATGTCATCAGCAAAAAACTTGGCAATGTTTCCCAGGAACTTGTTCTTATAATGCACAACATTCTAATCATTATTCATAATTTCTGCTGACCCACCGAGAAAACGAACTTGAATGAAACGTGAAAAAGCTAAAACAAACAAAAAATAGTTCTCAAAAAAAATTACGCTTTGCTTTTAATCGATCTGAAAAGTTGACAAGACTGCGAAGTGATCTTTTTCTGTTAAAACTGTTAGTTAACCTTTATTCTTCTGGACATCTGTATCGCTACAGTCATTTTGTTAATATGTATCTACCTTCTCACTAAAAGGCTTTATATAACTTGTAAAACTATTATTTAACATTTGTGGCCAGAATCACAATAAACTATATATCTGTAATAATAGGCCATTTTTAGGACCATCTTTTAACACACGTGATTGTACATCGCTCTATTTACTAGTATATGCAAAAAATAACGATTGTTTGATATAACACGTGACCGTTTGAGAACTGTTACCTGTCTAAGATAAGCGGCAAATTAAAGTTTAATAAGTCTTTCAGAAGTTAAAATTGTGGTTGCCAGTTGCTGTTAACAGACTGAGGAGAAAAGGTAATTGAACAGGCTGAAAAGTGTAACATACATTAGACTGTCTCCCAATTAACCAACAGTGATCAGGATTCAACTATTTACAACAAGTGAACCATGCAAGAATATTGTAGAAACTGTATTATTGGCGTTGATAACTATTCTGAAAACTGCTTGACTAAGATGCAGGCTCGCTTTGAATGCTGCTTAGAGTCCAAGCACATAATGTGGTCTTATTAGACGCTTTTATCCTTTTCTGTGACCACTTTGTGACAATTTGATTTCAATGTGATTGAACATTTTTGGAATAACCTTATGTGTCACATTCTCTAACCTAATTATTTGCTAATCCGCCATGAACTAATTTCAGACTATACTCCTTGGCTACTTTCTACAAGGCGTGCAACGACGATCACCACAGTCACAGATGCCGAGACAAAAGCTAGGGTGCTACACTGATTGCACAAAAGTTGTTTGAACAGGTTTGGTATTGGGAGGAATCTGCTCTAATGGGGGTATTGGTCAATGTGTTAGGGCTTATAACAGTAAAAACCGCCCCTGCGTTGTAGGTTGGTTCTTAACAAAAAAACATTCTATTTATTCTCCCTTATTTTACAAATTTTGATAATATTTTAGAACTAAATATAACAATTCGAGCAGTTAAAACATGAGATAAAAAATGTAGAGCTAAAATCGTTTAAACTTTCTAACGTTTATTGTTTTGTTTTTGTAATTTCAATAACCTACAAAATTAGATATACAGAAAACTGATGTACTTTAAATGTATTCTAGGAATTCTTTCTGTATGCAAATTAAGGAACACCAATTAAATTTATTTTCAGTAAGATATATCAAAATATTTCGTATTCAACTTACTTAGAATAAACAAGATCAGCAATTATTTTTAATAACCCTGTTATGGAAAGTAGAATCAGATGAACAGTTTAGTGATTGTTCAGTTTTTATCAGTAGAGAGATAAAACGTTTTCATTATTATATGCTGTTACTCTGATCTCTTTAGCCATTTTATTTATTATTTAATTTCATAATTATTAAGCATTCGAACTGATGGAGGGCTTGCTCAGCTTGATTGTTATAATCATTTATTCTTCTAGAAATTTGCTATTCCACCAAGATGGGACAATTCAGTTACAGATTTTGTTGCCAAGTACGAAGTGTTGTTTTGAAACCTCTCAAATATAACTACATGAAAAACTTCCATGAAAAAATCAAACAATTTTAGCTTTGAAGTTGGCACGAAAACAAAAAAGGAAGGGGAGATGGGGTATGCGGATACCTCATTCTTTTCTAACTTGATCCGTTAACAGTTAGTTAGTTAGTTAGAATAATTATGAATTTCTAACCAAAAAAGTATTATAGTAAAGATTATGTTGGGATCTAACACTAAAACTGAAAAAGACGCAAGTCATTCAATATATTTTCTGACCATTCTGTGGATAGATTTCATAAAATAAGTAAGAATTTCAATGTTTAAAAATGCAATAATTTATTGTATAAAGTTAGAAGTAAAATATACAATTAAACCTCTACATGTTTCTCTGGAGATCACTTTACACGTTGAAGTTCTTAATTATGCATTGTATCATATTACACCTTAAAATTGTATGATAACCAACATATGAAACTACTCAACTGAAAACTGCAATAACTTTACTTAAAAAATTAACCAAGAACTTAAAAAAAATTAAGACTACTTACAAATTTAAATAAATCAAAAACTATTTTCTGTTTGTTTGTCTAAAATTGGAGGATATGTTTTTCCGAACTGAACTAATATACTTCCTTGCAAAACAAAAAGATCAAGGTGATTTTATATACTAATTGATGATACTTTTTATTTAGACTTAAAAAGTCACAAAAAGGTATTTGAAAAAGAAATCAGTTCACGAATATGTAGTTAAGTTAGAAAAATTATAAGCCAGAACTACAGCATTTCAAACACAACCAAATCATATATTGAAGAACACTACAAATTGGTATAACAAGAAACTAGGAAAATACAAATTATTATTAAAATACACTTCAATCGTATTGCAATAAACATTTTTATTAATCAAACTATTGGAGAAATTAAGAACGATAACTTATCATTGTGTTCAAAATATGTTCTTCATTTTCTGTTAGGATCTTAGTTATCATTGTACTCAAAATATGTCCTTCATTTTTGTTAGGATTTTAGTTATCATTGTTAAGTCAAAATATGTTTTTCATTTTTGTTAGGATCTTAGTTATCATTGTACTCAAAATATGTCCTTCATTTTTGTTAGGATTTTAGCTATCATTGTACTCAAAATATGTTCTTCATTTTTGTTACGATTTTAGTTATCATTGCATTCAAAATATGTCCTTCATTTTTATTAGGATATTAGCTATCTTTGTACTCAAAATATGCCCTTCATTTTTTGGTAGGATTTTAGTTATCATTGTACTCAAAATATGTTCTTCATTTTTGTTAAGATTTTAGTTACGATTGTACCCAAAATATGCTCTTCATTTTTGTTAGGATTTTAGCTATCATTGTACTCAAAATATGCCCTTCATTTTTTGGTAGGATTTTAGTTATCATTGTACTCAAAATATGTTCTTCATTTTTGTTACGATTTTAGTTATCATTGATACGTTCTTCATTTTTGTTAGGATTTTAGCTATCATTGTACTCAAAATATGTTCTTCATTTTTGTAAGATTTAGTTACGATTGTACTCAAAATATGGCTCTTACATTTTGTTAGGAGTTTTAGCTATCATTGTACTCAAAATATGTTCTTCATTTTTGTTAAGATTTTAGTTACGATTGTACTCAAAATATGCTCTTCATTTTTGTTAGGATTTTAGCTATCATTGTACTCAAAATATGTTCTTCATTTTTTGTTAGGATTTTAGCTATCATTGTACTCAAAATATGTCCTTCATTTTTTGTTAGGATTTTAGCTATCATTGTACTCAAAATATGTCCTTCATTTTTTGTTAGGATTTTAGTTATCATTGTTCTCAAAATATGTCCATCATTTTTTGTTAGGATTTTAGTTGTCATTGTACTCAAAATATGTTCTTCATTTTTGTTAAGATTTTAGTTATCATTATGCTCAAAATATGTTTTTTCATTTTTTTAGGATTTTCGAGAAGATCGTGCATTTTTTCTCAACTTTTGTAGAGTTAATCCCACTATCTTTCATTCTCGGCTTTTATGTGTCTTTCACGGGTACAAGATGGTGGAGTCAGTACAGGGCCATCCCTTGGCCTGACAAGTAAGTTAAAGTCCTTATAACAATGAATTGGAAAATATGTACAAACTGTTGTACACACGAACTCGCGTTTATATATAGGAACAAAATGATTTACTTAGTTCAAAACCTTCCAACTGATAGTTCTTCATCAAGGGCTAAAAGATATAAATATACCAACTACGATGGATTATATCTAAAAAAAATATTTAAAAAATATAAAATATTTAGTATTTAACTATTAACTTTTTATTAATAGTAGTTCGAAAACAAACAATAACTGACATTTCAAGAGTTTTATTAATAATTTAAAACGTTTGTTAATAATGATGTTTATTATTAGATATGTACAAATTAAGTTTAGCATATTTTATTATGCAGTACAGATGTTACATATTCCACTCTTTTACAATGTATATCCTTCAGATATGAAAAATATATTTCAAATTTACTAAAGCTCTAATTCAGAACCCGATAAATTCACTATGAATTATGATAGTAGCTTTGACACTTTTTCAGAGATTACTTTAAGTTTTGAGAGAGGTTTGGCACTTTTGAAAAGATTGGTTTTAGCTTTTAGAGTCAAGACTAGCGTGTACTCTGCTGCATCTTCATTTTATTGTTCATTGTTCATCGACGACATGTTACAGGTTTGTGTTTTGATTTTTTTACACAGTTTAAATTCACGTTGCATTCAGTGTTGTCAGTCTTCCATTTTTCACTTAATTTCTGTAGCTTTCTTCATATTTCTATTTTATTTGTTACAGTAAGGCCATGAGTGGGTTAGTGGTTAGTATGTTGGTTTACGAATCTGATAGTTTTCTTTTCGCGTCCCCTTACTGGGCCACAAAGAAATTGCACTCCAAAATTTATGGTCGTGAGCGCACTATAAAGAGTGATGTTCAAATTCCATTATTAGAATATATTAGTCCAAGGATTGGCGGTGGGTGTTGTTGACTAGTTCCTTCTCTCTAGTCTATCAGTTCAAAATTAGGGACGACTGCTGCGCATATGTTTTGTTTAGATTTTCGAAAATTTATAAAACCAAAGAAAACCCGTTATAGTGAATAAAATGAATTTTATTTTGGGTAGGTGAGTATAGTTTTTTAAATTTTATCAGCAACAAGGTGGTCATTTGTTTAATTTCACCAAACAAGCCTTATACTATGATAATTAAATATCTCTGTTTATATATATACTCTGGGTCCCAGAATATTTCAATGCCGCATTGATTAAACTTTTCTGGTTCCGTAACCAGGAACAGTTTGGTGTCAAAGTGGTTTGATATATTTCTTCATCTTGACTTTATCTTTTCTCTCTCACGCTCTTCTGTAAGCTATTTTGCAAGAGAAATCTCTGTATAGTAAACATGTGTTTAGTAGTAAAGAGGAGACCAATGTATATCTTTGTGTGAGATCAGAGGAGACTGTTCACAACTCAGGTCATCGATAGATCGCTGGTAATATCAGCCAATCTTTTAAAGTCACATCATAAAGAAGATTTTGATTGAAAGCTACTGTTAAAGGTCTCTTATCCCAGCCATTCTGCCTCGTATTTCATAGCCAGCTTGAGAGATTTAGGTTAGTCTAACGCTTTCCCTTCTTGGTCCCGACTGCTCCATTTAATGTAGATAGACTGCCATCTGAGTTTTGTCCCTCTGAGTCATCAGGGGATCCAATCAGTATGAGGCCTCTAGAGAATGATATCTGGATGTCATGGCATAGTACAGAGTTTTATTATTAGACTTAGTTAAAAAATACCTTTAACAGCGAGGATACCCAACTGATGAAACAATGCATTATAATATTTATAAGTAAGATTATGAGAGCAGTATATTTAACTAACAACACTCTTTATCGGTTTGAGTTTTGTTTTTATTTTGATCTAAGTAAATAGCTTGCTATGATCGGAAGTTAACAATAAGTACATCAAGGACACAAAACTAATAAAACAATATTTAGTCACCGTCAGATTAATTCAACCACTGGGAAAAAACCGTCATTTTGTCCACTTTGGTTTTTACCCCGAAAAACTGAAAAAGTCATCTGTTTTGCTAGGGATGACAGGGTTGGAGATACATTACAGCCAAAAGAACATAATTTACGAACCTGAATGCAAAATCTACGGAGAGACATCCATAGGTGAAACAGAACGACCCCTACATACCTGCGTCAATCAACACACCAATCCCCTAAACAAATGGGAACCAACAAAGAAGTGTTTCAGCTCACTATTATTTATATAACCATGATCTTCCACCATCGAGTAAGCCTTGCCGTTTCAACATCAAATTTTAGCAAAGACAAAAACTTCAAAGAAGGAAAATAGACCGAATCAACCTTCATAAGGACAAAAACAACCTAACATCAACAGTGTTGGTGTATATAATTGCCCTTCCTCCACAGAAGATAAGATTTACAACTTGGTTATATTAATTTGTATATCAGTGTATAAAATTTACAGCTTGTCACAATTTTATTTTTATTTTAATAATGTTGAAAACAAATAATATATTTAACTTGTAAGATTTACGATAATCCTTTCATAATTATATAAAAACAAGGTCAACAACAATTTACAACAAACTCGCACACCAGAATTAAAACATCAGTTATAAGTTGAAAAATTCTTATGTGTGTTTCTGTACTACAGCTCCTTGAGAAAGGTGTCCGAAAAGCTGAGAAATGAAGATTTATTTCATTTGATATCAAAGGACGCCCAGTTCTCAATAATGTTATCTGATGTTTCGTGGGATAGTTGTGTTGTATCCAACATTTCTCTGTGTGTGAGGCTACTTTACGTATAATGTTTCGAGACGTCATCACGATGAACCTATATTTATATAGCATTTCAAGAATGTGTAGCATTAATGTTATTAATTTATTATTGTATATTATTCAGCCGACAAGCTGTTTAAAATACTAAAAATAAATATTAAGCCTAACCTATTATTCGGGAATTACACCCTTCATCAGTAACTCTTATGAGGGCAAAACGAAATTTTAAGACTAGGCTTCAAAGAGTGGTGGAATATATATATTACATATATGGTGTTTTGAGATGTCGTTTATTTTTACTACTTTATCACTGTAATATGCATGGAGTGGAATAGAAATACTTCCAGGTTCTTGTTGGCCAGCTATACGGAGAATGTTAATTTTGAAAGTTTGGAATGTTTAATTTCAGTTTTGAGAGAAAAGCAATACTGAGTTGTATAATTTTGAATTTTCTGACTTTGTTCTCTGTTTACCAACTACATGCTATGGATTTGTACCTTAATATCCTTACAATTGAAATTCAAGTTTCACTAAACATTATAATTCATATTTCAAGCTTTCATTTATTTAACTTTTTTGTGGTTTTTCAGCCCTTTTTTTATTTAATCTTGTTCTTTAGTATGAACTAAATGTATTTTTTGTACAGGCTACTTCTTCATTTAACTGGCAATAGGTCAGTTTCTTTTTACTCCATCAGTTCAATCCTTGATCCACTTGTTATTGTGATGAACAAACACCCATATTCAAAGTCTCAAATACCACATCCTTAGAAATAAAGATAAATAAAACTTTAATGCTTTAAAGTTCTCATACAGAAAGAACATTTTGATATTAACATTTATTTTGTGATTATGTTTTTTACTCTAATGACTGTGATAATAAATGGTTTGGTTCTAATACTTTTTGCCTCCTCTTCTGGGATGTAGGATAATGAACATAATAGCACTGTATGTGTCAGGAGCCGACGAGAGTAGCCGCATGTTGCGTCGAACGTTGATGCGTTACCTGAATCTCTCCCTTGTTCTAGTGCTGCGTTCCATCAGCATGGCAGTGAAGAGGAGGTTTCCTACTAAGGATCATCTAATTGAAGCTGGTGAGGAACGATTCTAGTCAGTGTTGAGGATATATTAGCAAGTAGAGAGACTGACAAACCTTTGCATGAGCTAAGGTGACTTGTGCAAAAGACACAAGCAAGAGAGAGAAATTTTATTCGTTGTACACTTCTGTAGAGAATTTTGAGCATAAGGATTTTTTATCCCTAAAAAGTTATATTTCTATCCTCATTACCAATGACTTCATTAACGTTATATGAATGTTATAAAATAAAACTTACTGCTTTAAAAACTGATGAATTATTATCATTAAAGTAAAATAAGTCAGACCGCTTCTGATTCAAAGGCTTTGATATTTATATTTTCATAAAACGAGGATTTTATTTTTATACCTCTAAAATCCATTATTTGTGAAGTAATATCTTTAAACTAAGTCCAGTTTTCAAAGCAATAATGTACATTATATCCGAAAATAAGTTTGCGGTCATAGGGAAGTTGGAGAAAGTTTTGAAAAAATAACCAAAACTTAACAAACGTTGTCAAAGCAATGTAGCATACATATACATACTGCTGTTACTTTAAACACATTTTTGGCAAACGTCACGTCTTCAGGAATTGTGGTTGTTTTAACTTTCAAGCAAGTTACCTCAATCTGCCCACTATAACGATATTAAAAAAATCTAATTGTCCAGTGTGTGATAAATGAATTGTAATTGTTAAGACTACCTTACTCCATTACGAGCGTAATGTTTGTGTAAAATCTCTAATCTTTAATAAAAATACTGTGGTTGCTTGACCCGCTTCTGGAACGATAAGTGTAACTTGTTGTTTCGCCAGTTCTTCTGAATGATGAGTAAAGTTAAATCAAATAGATAATACTTATAAAACAAAATAGATAATGATAATAAATAATTGGTGTTAAAATGAATAAATGCTATTGTGTTATTAATCCTTACCCAAATTCGGATTTGCAAATTACTAATATAAAATTGAATAAAAAATACACTTCATCAACTTAGTTCAGTTCACATCATAATAGCTGTTCGTGTAATTTCATAATATAATGTAATGTCTCAACCACTATTACGTCTGTTGTATCCCAGTCAGCCTGGTGAGTTCTGGTACTGTGTAAAAGGCCTCGTCGGCAGTGACTATAGCAGATACAATATGGTTAGCATATTGTTATATATTTCTCTTGACTTTCACTCATAAGTTTCTACAAGAAGCAATGGATGATAAACTTAAATATCCTTATTATACTGATATAATTACCATTTCTTACATTTGGGTGATAATTCAAATAGATTAAATAAAAAGAATTAAAACATGGGACTGTGAGATATTAGATTATATTTTCTGTGTTTATTTGAACAACATTTCAATATTTTTAGAGGTCAACATCAGTCTTTTCGTAATTGAAGATTGTTCAACCGTATTCTTAACACTCACGTGTCATATAACAAAAATAAAATAAAATAAACGTTCAGTGTTAATGCTAACACCAGTTAATTCCTTTAAATTCGCATGTGTTTCAAATTCTCACTCGCTTGTTATCCAACCGCCATCTTGGTAGGTTAACAGAAAAAAAACAAAAAAGTTAGCTTTTTCACATGACTTCAGACAAAAGCATATCAGTAATGGGTGCTTTTATCCACCCTCCTTTAGCAAACATAGCATCATAAAAAACAATTTACTGAATATAGATGTAAAACATTCAGAGCTTGCCTCCACTATCAAGGCAGACGCATATGTGACTGAGGAAGAATGTTAATCACGATTATTTTTCTCTCATTTAACTGAGATGGTTGGACTGCAGCCCCGCAGCACGGTATTTATACTTGGGGTAATTTATCATGTGCTTATATGGTTCATCTTTACTTGGATATTGTGAGATCTTCGCCTTTACGTCGGCTAATACCCTGGAATTCTAGCGACCTCTGGGATTTTTGTTTCAATTAAAATATGCCATATACTAAATTTAGAGCACTGGTAGATCCTCTAAGCGTCTTATATCCATTTATAAGTCAGGAAAAGCAGACGTTAAAATTATTCTAGTGTGACCTACGTTATTCAACATTTTTTCTTTTATAAAACTGTGCGGTAATTTTCATATATATAATTAACATATAAGAACAAGTGTTATTTATAACTTATCATTCAAACACTCTTGCCAAAGCTGTCGAGACACGAAGCAGTTAGGAGATTAATATACCTTTAATATCAAAAGGACCGCTTTGGAAATTAATAATGTTGCTTTTTTCGTTTAACTAATAAGTCCAATTGAAGTAACTGACATCAAGAGCAAAACGTTTAGAATAAAATAGCTCATTTTACGACAGTTTAACCAGCCGTTATTTTTCTCTGTCAATTAAACGTTTGTTGTTAATTATTTTTTGTTTCCAGACGATCCACCAAGCTACAGGAAAGTTAATTAAACAAAAAGTTCTTCTTACAGGATTCCTAACGAAAGCGGAACTAGAAATGTTTCTCTCTGTGCCCTCAGTAGAATTTAACACTTTTTGGATTCCATGCACTTGGTTCATTAATTTGCTACGAGAGGCCAGACAAGAATGCCGAATTACAGACTCAAACGGACTCAAGCTCATTATGGAGGTATGCTTTTATTACAATCAAAATTATCATGCTCAAATAATGGAAATATTTGAATCGTGATTAATATATCTGTATATATATATATATATATATATGTGTGTGTGTATGTGTAACATAACTTATTTATTTATGTATATATATATATATATATTCATTGATGTTTTACAGAAGTTATATTACGAAAATTAAGTTAAGTAAAAAAGCTTAAGTTGCTGATTGATTAGATTCTTTTTCTATTAGTTTAGACTTTTTATGAGCTTTATGTCAATGATTCAACAAACTTTCACTTTCATTTCTTGTTTTACCAAACGTCATTTTTAGTGAATCCTGTTAAATTATTTTATGGCTTCTGAAATTTTACTGTTAACTTTTAGAAAATAGCAGAATTTCTAATCAAAAACCTGTCAATTCCTTTCCATTTGTGCATGTTCTCGTTTATTTCAAAGCAAGCAAGAAAATTGTGTATTAACTTATAGGAATAAATATTGTGCCAATTGAATTCAGTTGAAAGTTGTGCGTGGTAAGATTTTCGTTCCTTTGTTTGCTTCGGATATTCGCGTGATAACCGTCTCTATAATGATAGACTAGAGGATTTTGGTTTTATTTGCCTGTTGAATTTCGCGCAAAGCTGTTTGAGGGCTACATGCGCATCCTTAATAAAAAGTGAAAGAATAGAGAGAAAACAAAGTGCAGATCACTATTTTATGACAACAGGATGCAAACCATCGACCTCCAGATTCACAGTCTGGCACCCTAATCACTATCTGTATTACTTGTCTGATTTATAAGATTTTACGCTTTGATAATCCACCTAGTTTTCGATACGTGTTTTAAATCTCACAAGAGTAAAGAAATAAACACGGAACTGTACAGTCACTACTTTTACAACAGCAAACATGTACAAAATTTTTAATTTCTTTGTGCGATTTCTAGTTTATATCAGACAAACAACATTATTTGCAATATGTTTATCTTTTACTTGATTATAACATCAGGTATTATAAAAAACTAACAAATATAGAAGAATGACGAACGGAGAGAAAGCAACTTTTAAATTTGTATCCTGATCGTTGACTTTTCTGTGTAGATTTTTGTGATTGCAAGCATATAAGCATGTGGATAAGAGCAGTATCAAATTACTTCTTTTTACTGACAAATGTTAGTCAACAGATTTTTTTTTTACTTTCTGTTTTAAACGACCTTCAGATTACTTTGTTTTAACAGCGTACTAATACGCCATTTCAGCTCGTTTAAAACATTGTATTTTTGTACACTAGAAAGATGAAAAACAAACGTTACGTAATGCAATTTCAAATAGCCTAAGGCTGAGTTAAATTTTAATTTAGATTTAGTAATTAGATAAATGCCGATATATATCCAATTTATGGTATTTGCCAACAAGATTGTTACACAGTTTTCTTTTTTTTTAATACAAATATGTTTTAATATACAAACAATAATACAATTTACAATAACGGTTATCACAAATAGTTATTACAAACAGCGATTTATACACAAAAGTTTTACAAATTTACAAGCAATATAAAGTCTTCTTTCTAGTCTAGAACTTCCTTGATATTTTATCGAGGGGTCACGATGAGCGAGTTGATTACGAGTTGATGTAGGTACATGTCACTTAATAGGGAGCTAGCTAGCTCTGTGGTCTTCACTGATCACACGCCGATTTTTTCCATCCATGAAGTTGGGTAATGTTTTCGTTAAAATGCTAATATCCGATGTGAATCCACTGAAGTTAAATGGTTGGTAATGTTCGAAATTTATAAATGTTCCTGGTCAATATATTTGAAGTGTCCCGATTAATAAGCGTTATGACAATCACAGTTATAGCTTCCGAAGTTTATAGCACACCAACTATAGCAAACCAATAATATATACTGTTTTTTGGCGCGTGGCGTTGGTTATACTTATAAGTGTGTGTTTACGTACACACATATATTGTTGATTCTTACATTCGAGAATCTTCTACAACTTTAGAGAATAGGCGGAAGTTTCGCAATACATATTTAACAATATGTGTTATATACATTTCTAAATATAAATTTAATTTAAACAAACATCGATATTAAAATAAATATATAATAGTAAATCCGTCACAAATTCTACATGGAAGCAAATTTGGTCTAGTACTTGGATTCATGGTTCACTTGTCATTGCCACAAAAATACACACTGCACGTGCGCTATAAGATAACAGTCAAACCGATCACACAAGAGTTGGTTGTTGGCATTGCTGACTTATTCCTTTTCCTCCGTCGGTTCAGAATTAGGGACGGCAGATAGCCCTCGGATACCTTCGCGAGGCCCTCAGTAGGTTAATGGTAACATTACGGACTTACAACGCTAAAATCAAGGGCTCAATTCACTATGATAGGCAGTCTGTTGGTAGCCTATTCTGTAGCTTTTCGCTAAAAACAAACAAACAAAAGCTCCACGAGAAAATCATGAAACGAAATCAATCCTACATCTTGTAAAGTGGTTCTACCAACACTATGCTTTACACAGTTCTACAGTTTCAAGCTAGTTCAGTTCGTTCGACATTATGATTTACTCAGTCCTGAAAGTTACAAACTAGTTCGAGATCTTCCTCCTATTTCTTAAATTTAGTTTTATATTTTAATATGTATTGAACTTTATTGATATAATGTTTTATTCTATAGTATAATTTCCTTTCTTTGGTTTCGTTATAACTATATATTTAACCTTTTTTTAACAGCTTAATTGTTTCTAGTACTTATGTAATGATTTTATGTTTTCATTGCATTCATAAAACGATATTAGAGCTACTCCTGTCGCTTCATTTCTAACACTCTTAAATTATTCACTACTATCTTCTCAAATATAAACTGTTCTAATTTTAAAACTTTTAAATTTACTACATAATCTGCGTACTTACAGTTTTTAGATACTAACCCAAAATACAAACCTCAAGTGTGTTCTCTTTGTTATTTCTAATTTTATGTTATTGCCAAATTTGGTAAATATATATTCTCCATCCTTTTTACTCTTTTTTTTCAAAATCTAAAAATTATCATTATAATCCTGTTATTTCATTTATTCTTTATTTCATATTTCAGTAATTGAATTGGAATTTGCTTGTATTGTTGTGAAATTTTAAAACCTGAAATAGTTATTTTAAATTGAGTACATTTTGGTGTAAGTTTGTCCTTTGGCATCTCTCTAAGAATTCAAGATATAATGATGTTTTATAATATTTGTAATACAACTTGTAGTTTTCCTAAAAACATTTTAAAATCATATTTATTTATTTATTAGCACTTTAGAAAGTCTACGAAGAAATAAGAATTTCACCAATTCGCTGAAAGTCCACCAAATATCTTTCAACATTATATGAGAACCTAACTCACTATTGGTCCCTCTTCTTTATATTTTAGTAAAAAAATGCCTGGTGTAGAACGTGGTTGCATTTCTGAGTATTATTTGATTTCAACAGTATTATCTGGTGGTTTATCCTATGAATCTCTATCTATAAACAAGGCAACTGTATTTGAATTTACTCTTGAACGTTTAGATGTAATGACGACCTTGAATCTCAAAACAAAAAATTAACTAACCTTACTGAAAACACATAAAATCTTAATTTGAAGTGAAACGTATCTAAATTCAATAATTTGTCTTTCATGTTTAATTTGTGATATCCTATTAAAAATAACATGATACTTTCCTATAGAGATAGTAACCCCACGTTTATCGAGCTTATGAATTTACTTCAAAGGCTTGCTCGTTTGTTTTAGCGCAAAGCTACACTGCGATCTGCCCTTCACGGGAAATCAAACATTGTAAATCCGTAAAATTATCACTGACTTACTGGAAGATAAAGTTCTTATGTTGCAGTATGGTTTAGCTCTTCATAAAATATGCCACCCTTCCTAATTTTGAGCTACCTACCAGAGTGAAGAAAGCTAGTCAACAGAACCCTGCCATCCACGCTGAGGGACTGACTTTCGTTTATGCTATTATTCACGTGATTCTTATAAAAGATGAAAACCTCATCATTCGCCACACTTGTCTGTAAAACTAGTCGTAAGGCCGCGTTATGCTGAATTAATGAATTTAATTCAATTAATTCATCGTGAGTAAATTGATACTCAGCGTTGGTAAATATGAACATTAAGATTAGACAGTTCGTGACACACGGACGTTCATATTAATTAGTACAATACAGAATTTTGTTACTATAGCAACAGGAAGGAACACAAAGATCAACTCTGCTACTTATTGTTACACTATAGGATCCTGTTACTATAGAAACAGATGAACGAACTTGTTGTTATGTGTTTATTTTATTATGAACGTTATTTAGATTAAATTTGTATTTAAAAATATGCGTAACTTATAGTGTTGGATATGTATTGCGTGTAACGAATTTGTTATATATTTATTTTAATGTAAACGTTTATTTGGATTGAGTTTATATTTAAAAACATACCTAGCTTACAGTGTTAGTTACGTACTGCGGAACTCCCGCCAATTCTCCAAGGTTGTAGAATATTCGTGAACGTAAGAATCGACAATATATCCACTTCCATAACCGGTTAAATATAGCTCAGTATTGTTGTCGGAATATTCGAGAAAATCTTTCCCGCGCCTATAAAAACAGCCAAGGTGACGCGCCAAAAAAAGAAAGCTTAAAACGTTAGCTAGGAACCAGCTATAACCGTGTGCTATTAGTGATTTTGCCTCCCCTTATCAACCGGAAAATTTACGACATTTGACCACGAACAGTTATAAATTTCGAACGTCAGTGGATTCTCATTGGACGTTAGTATCTTTCCGAAAATATTACTGTATTCTCATCAGATATTAATAGTTTTATGAAAACATTATCTCACTTCAACGGACCAACAAACTCAGTGTGGTGACCAATGAGACAAAGCTAGCTAGCTTCCCGGCAGTCGTACGTACATCGACTTGAAGTTACCTCGCTAGATATCAAGGGAATTCCAATCTAGAAGGAGACTT